ATTCTATGTTCCAAGCATAAGCAGTTTCTAAGAGAGCTTTCCTCCTTGGTCCTTGCCATGGTGTTGGCAGGGACAAGGACTGCCAGGGGTAGTGGCTGGGGGTAGGGAGCAACTTGCTTTGAGAAAGTGTTGCTACCCTTTTATTGGCAAATGGGAAACAGAATGAGAAACCTGATCTCTAAAGATGAATTCTCCATCAGATCCGGGACACCAGCTTTCGACCTGCCATCTAAAGGAATTATTTGCTAGGGCTGCCTGGAGCTTGGTGTCTCAGAAGCTGGGTCTTTTGTTGTTTTTAATCACACCTTTTTCTTGTATTCTCTCCAGGAGATCTGATTGCCAGCTTATTATCTTGAATGTTGCCCATGGAACAACTCTGGGGTTGTCAGATAAATTTTTCCTACCCCTCTTTCTGGGACTCTGGGATGGAGGGGAGAATGCCTTGGATCCTATGATAATATTGTGAGTCATTCCGACCATTTCTTAGTAACAACCGCTCCATAAAGACACGTCTCTTTTCGTGTAGGATACCAGGACAGTTTAAATGGACCTTCCTTTCATCTCAGCCGTGGTCTTTCACTCGTCTGAAAGCAACCTCCCCATACTGTTCCTCAAATAATGCAAAATACCGTAAGAATGAAACTGCCTTAAGTAACAAACATTACGCAAATATGCAATAACCCAGATTGTGACAGGGTAAATATTATGTCTGAGAAGACATCCATAGCAAGAATATAATGAAGGAATTTCATTTTATAAAAGCACTGGGAAAGGGTACTATTTTGAAAGTGGGGGGAGATTTAAGTTGCCAGGGAGGTCAACATAAACAGAAATTCCTCCAAGGAATTAAACCCCATTCTAACAGACAGGAGAACTCCCAGACCTCAAGGGGCTGAGTGTGGAATTCACACTGCAGCGCTGCAGGGGTCGGGGGAGAGGGAGAGGTAAAGGGGGGAAGGGAGAGCTTAGGCATTCACTAGGCAAGAGGCTATAATAAAATGGGCCCCTTCCCCTTTGTGTGCATGTGTGCATGTGTGCATGTGTGCATATCTGATGACCTACGGGAAGTTTGGACCAGCAGTTTGAATGGGATCTATTTTCCTAATTATACAAACCAGGTCCTGGCTATAATAAAAACAGGTGTTACCAAAACACACAGGGTGCAAGAAGAATGTCCACCTCGTCTGTTCATTTATTCATATTCCAGTTATCTACTCTGTGCAGCCCGGTGTGAGGCTGGCCCTCCATGGTCAAGACAAAGTTCCAAATTCACAGACGCTTGGCTTGGGGGCCCGTGGATCCCCAGAAGGTCCACAAATGAGCCTCAACAGTCCTGGAAACTGGAACTGTGCATGAAACTCTGGGTAGAAGAGCACATGCATATTTTTTCCCCCCTTGGGAGAAGGCTTCCAAAGGATTTTCACAATTATCTATGATGTTCCCAAAAGATTAAAAAATCATATTCTTAGGAATTAGGAGGAAATTTGCACTGGATTCTCTTCCCCCCTTTATGATGTGGTTGATGATACGGTCTGGTAGATTTCCTCTTTGGTTCTAAAATGAATTAACTAAAGCCGTATTCCCTGATTGATGGATTCCTTTCCAACTGATTATGTACTACAACAGCGGCGGAAGCACTCACAGATCTCACTGCTAAAATTTCTTCAGTGTCTCTCAGCGGCAGCCACGATACGCTTTCTTGTCACTGAAAATACCAGTGATAACCTGTCTCGACTGTTGATGTCAACCGACGTAAGCTACTGCTAATTAACCTCGCCAAGGAGAAACTCCTTTTGATCCTGAACTTCAATTTTCCGGGAGTGAGGGACAGTTCTTCAGAACCTGTGGTTAAGTGTGAAAGGTTCTGAGCAACCACCTGTGTGCTCTGCATCTCCTCTCATCCCCTGTAAAGGCAGAGTCCATTTCTATGGAGACCCTGAATCGAAGGGAGCAAAGCCCAAGGGGGACGTATCCCCTGCACGGGATTTAAATTGGCCAGGAGAAAAAGTAGGGAAGGGGAAGAAGGAAGACGGTTCAGACTACTGAAGGCTTCACCAACATTTTTTAGGGGCCAATGTTGTCAGCAAGTCCCTCAAAGCCGGACGGGCAGGTTTTCCCGGTTGCAGGCTGAACTTGAGGTTATAAGTTGTGATCCTGGATAAGAGCCAGCACTCAGACAAATCAGTTCTGTCGACCAGAGAAAAACCCTTCCACGTCCAACCTCTGGCAATTTCTGTGAGGTTTTCCAAACCCCACAGACTGGCAGCTGGTAAAAGAAAAGGGAGTTTTCTTTCTCTGCCCTCCATTTAGAACTGAGAACCAAGCCCTTTTGAGAAACCCTCGGATGGGTGCTGTTTGACAGAATGTGAACCTGGCATTGAAATGTTTGGATGAGCCAACAGCCAGGACCTTCTCGGCCACGGTGGCATGTTTATGCCAATGACGTGTTTTTAGGCACATTTTCAAAAACAGAAAATGAAACAGTAAATAGTCTTACGATCGCTTCATAAAACGTAATGAAACTTTTAAAGGACAAGTTTCAGTGAGGAAGATTAAGGCTAATTGTCAAAATTAGCGAGAATCATCTGTTCTCTTCGTAATGGGAAGCAAATTGCAAAAAGAAAAAAAAAATCTGGCAGGCTTTGCTGTTGACACTTACACTCGAGAGAGTAAAATCAAGTTGTATTTTATGACTGGAGAGCGATCACGAGACAAAGTCAAACGGGGACTTTTGACAGCTCATTTTGTTTTGTAGTATTGACCAAAAAAAACCCCAAACAAACAAACAAAAACCCCCACAAACAAACAGAAAAACAACCCACTAAAGACCAATAATACACAGGGTAACCAGAATTGGGTCAAACACGGAATTAGGGTTCCTGTATTTGGGATTGCTTATGATCACTCCTGGGAAGCCGAGCCCGTTCAAAACAGATATTGTCCGTTTATGGCATTTTCATCGATTTTTTTTTTGTTCCAGGTTATCCGAAGACAGCCCAGCCTTGGTTGTAGCTATTTTACTCTTTGGGTTTTATGCAAACTCTAGGGCATACTGGCATGAATCAGGCAGCCAACTGCAAACAATCCACACCTTGGGGAAACAGTTCACTGTTACCCAAGTAAACACAAGGCACCTCTATTAGTCACCCACTCAAAACAGAAATGGCCAATGAGGGACCAGAGACCAGCCCTCAACGCCAGAAAAGGAAGCACGCTGCTTTCAAAATCCCATTCTTTATTATCACCAACTTACTGCACACGGCCCCAAGGCCACCACAGCTCTTCTCATGGGAAAGTGTCATGGGCACGATCCGTTCACGTTTCCCAAACTTTTAAAACCAAAACCTGACACGGGGACCCACACTGATGCACAGCTTTCCCTGGAAGGGCAACCCAAGGCACCTCAACCATCGTCCCTGATGGTATAAATCCCCGAGAATTGAACCGAGGTTGTTAGCTAGGCTGGTAGGCAGGGGCCAGGCAATAGGCCTTTGTGTTTTATTGGCTTCTCACTGACTCTACCAGCTACTCATCTGAAGCCTTCACGATGTTTTCCAAACACACATCTCTGAATCATAATGTGAATTCCATTTACGGAAAGGCGGGGACTTTTAATATAACAAGTGAACTCGTTTAATGACTTTATGCTTTCATATGTTATAGCATCTCTCCTGCTCTCAATAAGTTGATATAATTTTCTTTGCATTACCCTATTATTAACATAGTTATATTATGAACATATATTTTCAGTCATGTTGTAAGTTTATTTTTTTTTAATTTTCTCCACCTAGGATTCTATTTTAAAAATGCTTCGGGCAGCTAAGATAGCCAAAACTGAAGGCCCAAAAGAGCAACACACCTTTACCCCTTCCTCTCTTCGACTAATCACAGATTTTCTTGTATTTTTGAATGCCTTTATAAAGAGTATGATTACTCTTATGTTTAACTGTCCACTGGTTATACTTTAAATATACTTTAAATTTTTTTTAATACAAGAGTCATCTACTGCTGTTTATGTATTTATCATGTCTTTTTAAAATTATATTCAAAATAACTTTTATTCATTAGCTTATTCAATACTATATTATGAAAATGAGATTTTCAAAACAAACTATCCTTCCTCCTTCCATTAAACTTCTAGTACTTATTGCTATTTATAAAATACGACTTCAGTTCTTAACAATACAGCAAAAACATGATATTTGAAAATAACTGGAAACCAGAGGAGATTACGAGCCAAAATTCCTCTCTCTGCTCTAATGCTTTAGTAACAGGCATAGAAAAATAAAACCACACAGAACTGCCCTGACGCAACGGTTCCTTTGGGTAATCCAGTCTTTAACAGATCGGTACTAAAATGTTAACTGGGTCTGACCCTCCCCCAAATAATAAGAAGGCATCCAAATTACATGTGACAGGAAAGTCATAAATGCCACCACACTTGCCAAACCAGAATGGTACTATCACTGTCTCTTCATATTTTATCATAAAATGGTAAACTTACTTGCAACCATATTTCAATAACCATATACTGTATATCCCTTAAAATGTGATCATTTGAAACTCTGTCCCTTGTCATAGATAGCACATGGATTCTAAGTTAAAGACTTCCCTGATATACATTTTTGATATTATCAAGTGGAGAATACCAGTTATATAATCTTAGTTTCCATGATGGTGAGTTTTATATTTTTACGTTTTAGTAAAGATGGGAGGGATTTCCTTGAAATTCACAATTCATCCCATGTTCCAAATCAGTCTTAAACTAATTCAATAATAGAAGGCAACAACGTAAAGGTAGATTGTTGAAAAGATACTACATTTTAAATCCATATTTTTTTAAAAGCTTGAAGTAGCAATATCAACAAGAAAGACTGTGCTTCCAGGGATTCCATCACAGACACTTCTAGGACATCACAGACACTTCTAGAAGTTTTGAAATTTGGATTTGTTGCCATGTAAGACTCTGCACTCCCATTTTAGTTTTGACAGATACATACCTCTTCCACTCCGACCGACAAACCTGAGGTCATTGAATCTCGCAACCTGGTTTTTCATGGCTGCGGTGGCATTTCTCAGTTCAGCTGAGTAATTTTCATCATTGCCCGCCATCACAGTGACCAGAGTGCCATCGGGGACATCCCCCAGAGCCACCACCTAAACACCAACCAAGGGACAGATGCAGACATCAGAAATGTTGTAAACTTTTATGCCATTGGTGTATTAATTATTTTAAAATTAAATATATATTAAGTGATCCTTCTTTTAAAAAAAGATTTATTTACTTATTTTAGAGACAGAGTGTGCACAAGAGAGCAGGGGGAGGGGCAGAGGGACAGGAAGAGGGAGTGAATCTCAAGCAGATTCTGATCTGAGCGCAAAGCCCATAACGGGGCTCCATCTCGAGACCCTGAGATCATGACCTGAACTGAAATCTAGAGTTGGACGCTCAACCCGACTGTGCCACCCAGATGCAAAGGAATAGCAAAACAACAGGAAAGTTATTAATGGGAAGAATCTCTTTGAATTCCATTATGCAGAACTAAATACAAATTTTGGAGTCCTAAAACATTCACCTAATAAAGCCACCTAAGGTTACATGGTGCAGTTGGGACAAGACTGACTACAGCAAGGACTTTTAAAGCTATGCCTTTTCATGAATGCAATCATCTTAATATCTGAGAAATGCAGTGTCTTGTTTTTGTAAGTTTATAACCTGATCCATCTCTTGCTCATCCAGACGTCCACTGACAGGCCTCACAGGGCTCACTTTGCTTTTAGGTGTTTAAACTTATTTCTGCTAAAATTAAATTCGATCTTTACAACTGAATTGCTGATGATTCTTGAATGACTCTCCCTTTGCAGTTCATCGTTGAGACCCCCTACTTGCTTCTCTGATTTTGATTATCAGTAGCTGGGAATTCTAGCATGCAAGGAAAAAAGTGAGAAATCTACCCTTTGCTCATTACCAACTGCAAAATCAACAGACCTCAGAGAAGAGGGGAACTCACTTTTATGTGCTGCTCTGAATTCAGGAGTCGAACTACGTGGCATTTTTGTATCTGTGGGTCCCCTAGATGCGCCAACTATGTCCTGATAGATGACTGAGGTTTTCCCCAAACCCAGCTGATCTTCAAGAAGAATTCCTTTAATGTAATTGAATAGGAATGGATTTCCTAACAGGGCTGCTGGAGAAAACTGGTGGATACATATTTTTGATATTCAGGCAATAAAAAAGCTATAATTTCAAGGTAAAATGCTCTAAGGAAGATGCCATAAAGATGGTTTGTACAGTTGTATCTATTTCTTGGCCATCATTTGACTCTTCTAGAAATGTTTTTTTGGGAGCTAGACAATTATTATTACCTATATTTCCATTGTTTCTATTTTTTAAAGTGGTCATAGGATTTCAAATCAAAATGCCCCAAGTTGTTCCTATTCCTATCATTTCTGATATTCCTCATGGTACTTTCTCAGTCAGTAGTGAATTCTGTGTTAATCATTCCAATTATATAATCACTTTCTTCTTTCTGTATTTGAGTTGTAACAGCAATGAATTCTCCAGTGATTATTCTTCCATTTTACCTAATCATCACTACATAATTTTGGGAGTAATACCTATATTTTCAATCCCCTTTTTCTGTCTGTAAATAAGGCTGCAATAGGCTCCCGTGTATGACAGCAAAGCCATTGTTTCTCGAAATGCCCATCTTCATTGCCTGCTTGGCCATTACCCCCTCCCCGTGTCATCCAGGTGACCACCTACTGCTTTCATTCCTTGTGATGCTTCAGCTCTGGGATTCTGAGGAGTATGACAGGGAGGACCAGCCATCTCACCACAAGGGACTAGGGGACCAGGAGAACGAGCCCACACAGCAATAGGTAGGCATGTTCTTCATCTGTCTTATCCCCCTTGCTCCGTGGAGCACCGTCTGGGCCTTTTATCTTTCTTTCTAATCCTTTCCATCCCAACGCTGTTTTCTATGAAGGAGATTTAAAAACACAGATATTTACTCCCCAAGTACCCTCTAATTAGATATTTAGTTCCCATTATAAGTGTGTTTGTTGCCTTTTAATTAAGAGCAGTAATACGACAATTCTCTTTTGTTTCGAAAACATCATTGAAATAAATCTCCCCGATCAGTTATTTACATATTTTACCTTTTTTTTTTCTATTCCCACAAAATGGGCTTGCTCGAGTCTGCTTTTTTCAGTCTCTGAAAAATTTTTCCATTTTATTTTTCTCACTATTTTCACTTCCTTCTGTAAAATTAGCTCACAGTGTTGAAATGCCCTCCTTAAACACATATTTTTACTTCCTCATCCCCATCTCGCCTGGCTTTTCTATTTTAATCCAACATTTAGTAAGTATACAGGGGCTGTATACTTAACTATGTGGTTTTCAAACTGAATAACTCATTGTTGGGGCAGAATCTGTGAAGAGGTTAAAATAAGTAAATCTTGTTGTCTATCTTCCAAAATGTATGCTAAAGCACCTTCCTCCCATTGGCTCCCGACACGGTGCTCCACGCCTGTTCCTCTCTCATCTTTCCAAAACTATCCTTGTCAGTAATTTGGCAAACTCACGAGACCTTCACCAAGTAGAAACAAATATAGAGTAAAATGATCATGGTGGCTAAATATGAAAAGGTTGTTGATGCTGGAATTTAAGACTAACAAAATTAGCAGTTGAACCCTTCCTACCCCTCCCTTTCTAAAAAAAAAAAAAGCAGCAAAAATCGAAGATATGTGTGTGCTCGAAGATCATTCTTTTTGTTTTTTTATTGATCTCCCAGGGATTTTTTTCTTTTCTTTTTTTTTTGGCAGGGAAGAAAGGGAAGAATATTAAATTACACTAATAGCGTATATATCATCTAATTGTTAACAAGCACACTTAGAATAGATTAAAAAATTAAAAAAATTAAAACTAACATGTCTGCTAATTTGATACAGATTGTCCCACTGATAGACAATAAGAAGAGCATAAAAAAAATCTAACTTCAAACAGAAAAAAAAGAAGGAACTGGAATGAAAAGCTATAAACAATAGGTAAGGAAACACAAACATTTACATTTTAACACAGACCAAACAGACAAGAAGGGACTTGCTGGCCAAAGGATATCTCATATTTTGTTTTACTTCTCTGTTTTTAAAGTATCAGGAAGTTGGGCAAAACATCAACCCTCCTATGTACTGCATGGGTCTCCTCACACTGCCATTGGCTAGCCTGTTCCCAGTTCAATATGGCATTTCAAACAACTCTAATTAGGTTGAAATTACAGTTACAATTCATTTATTTTAAATCCTTTAATTTTCCAGAGTTTCAAAGAAAGCTGTGGAGTGGAACCCAGAATTCAGCCAAGATGACATTAAATGCATACCTAGGGACTGAATCTTGCCGATAGAAACACTACTTACTGCTTTTTTATGGAAAGAATATGACTATTAGCATCCGAAACCTCTGAACTGGCTGATGGCATGTTTATGCCTTTGGACCCTGGTGTACGGGGGCCTAAACAAACTGTAATATTGCAGTATTTAAAAAAATATATATATGTTCTAAGTCATCTACATAGCTCTTTAGATTGCTTCTGGAAATGGTGGGTAACACGTAGCAAATTTAAGATTTTCCCAGTAGTAAAATAGGTCTCTTTTCTACGCTACAAAAATAAAGGTGTTCCATGGGAAAAATGAAGGTGGGGTATATTTTGGGGTCCAGGATAAGCAAATAGGAAGATTTTAATCTATTTGAAGGAAAATTCATAATTTGAAGTCTCCATTTAGTTTCAAAGATTCAAGCAGGGGATTTACACACAGGATTTCAGAGACTAGGAAAGAATCACTTAAATGCTCTGTTCAACCATATCATCAGATATTATCACTGTTTCACATTTTCTCCTCCTTATTACAGGGAATATAACCATTTTTACTGATTAACTACTTAAAAAGATTGTCTGGGCTTATTTGAAATCCACATTTTGAAGTCATAATTTCTGTAGAAACTGTTTGGGAGGCGGGTAGGTGGCTAAGTGAGGAGTGGGGCCAGGGTTACGGAAGCAATCAACCTGGGCACAGTCATGTTTTGAAGGCTAACTTGCTTTTCTGCCTAACCTTTGGGTTCGTTCCCTCACTGAAAATTCTGTCAGCTCCTTCAGTTGGTGCAGGGAGCAGGCTTCCTTCAGGAAGAGGCCTCTCTTGATGGGGACGGAGTGGTGACAGATATTACTCAAGTGGCCTCATTTCCCCGCTGTCCTTCCCTTTCCCCCCTATGTTCTCAAGACCCACTTGAACTTTTTTCAAGAGAACTATGCTTTGGTCATTTAGGAGACAACAAACTCTTACTCAGTAAAACAAATTCGATTTTTTTTTTTTAAGTGCATTGTCAAAAATCATTTTGAAAAAGAAATCTCTTTGGTTACTAAGATTTCTACTGAAAAAAAATTCCCTGATGGCTCAGAAAAGCAAGTTATATGATTTTTTTCAGTCTTTTGGAAAAAAATAATGCTTTTCTTGGGGTGGCTTGAGAAACTCCATCACTTCACCTCCTGAAAATTATTAATCACTCAGTGTTTTGATATGTTTGGGCGTTGGTTCCTGGCAGAGGAGGGGACATCCAGGAGAGATCCTGATTTACCCCCAAAGGAAGCCACAGATCTCTTAGAACCCACTCCATTGGTGTGTCAGGGGCACCGGGTTTAAATGACCCTTTGGCCGATTATGATTATCAGCCTGTCTCCTCCCTCTGTTCTTATCTGAAAGTGGCCCCAGGGCCAAGCCCTGTCTAGTCCCCTGTCACTGAGGGGACTCAGTCCTATCCTTTAGCTAGAGGAGCCTGTTTAGGTAAAGAGATTAGAACGATTTAAAATTGAAATGGACTCCCAACCCAAATCTACAGAGATGAAGGACAGCAGGGAAAGAGTCCAGCTGGGCTGCTCAACCCATTCCTCATTCCCTCCCCCTCAAAACCTTCTGCTTTCAGAACAGTGAGGGGCTTCTAGAGACACAGCCAATGACACATTTTGTTTTGTTCTAGGAATCATAATGTAAGTTCGGAGGATGCATAAGGCCTAAAATTAAAGAACTCCCACAGTACTTTATAAAAAAGCGAACACTGTCCATTGTAACTAGATCAAGATCCAGTAGAGGCCTGGAACCATTAAAAAAGCTTATATTAAATTAATCTCCCCTTAGAGGGCACAATTACCTTAAAAAGAAAGAGTAGCTGATCTTTACAGCTCCCCCCTCCACCTGCCTTTCTCAGTCCTTTCAATGAACAGGAAATGACTACAGACTGTACTAACAAGTTGCCCCTTCCTAAACCCCCTCAAGACAGAAGAATAGAATCCCCACCGCCGAAATTAAATTCCTACTCTTTGGGGCCAGGGTGTGTGCGAGGGGGGTGGGGGAGGCGGTGGTTTTTTAAAACGCCAAGCGTTGTTTCTATATCCCCGTTGAAGGCCGAGGGTTTTAAAGGCGGCTAGGGAAAGATTAGGGGCTCAAGTGAACGAAGACCCCTTGAGCTGTTCATCTGAAGTGCGGGATCCACGCCACCCGCCTCCTCAGACAAAAATGCTGTGAGCGGGTTAGACCCCGACTCGCAGAAGACAGGCTTGTCACCCTTCCAGGCCCCGGGCTTAATCCAGGTGAGCCAGAGATAAGGTTCAGGAGGGTTCCAGGAAAAGAAACAGGATTCGCTACTTGGCGGCTTCTGGCAGGAGCAGACTAGAAGCTGCAAAAACTCTTTAGAAAACTTTTGCAAAGTTAACTACGCCCTCCGTGGACTTTAGACATGCTAATTTCGATGGGACTGTTAAAGAGGGGGTGGGGGTAGGAAACCCTGACAGTTTTCCTTGTCAGTTTATTTTCACTGACCCGAAAGTATAAAAGTATCTTTATTTCCTGATGCCTCCATCGGAGGGAGGCAGAATGGCTTGGGTGTCAAGTTCGGGGGTGGGGGGTGGGGGGGTGGGGGGGTGGGGGAAGCATGGGAGCAGACAGGCTTGCCGGAGCTGGCTTATAACTTTTTCTACTTTGTAGCAAAGCTAAGGACCTCTGTCGGGGAGCTCGCAACCGGCCCTCAGTGGACCTCTCTGGGGTCATCCAGATTGTTTTCAGTCCTCCCTAGAGGCAGCCCCTGCGGGTCCCCCCCGCACACACACACCGAGGATCGCCAGGGCAACCCAGCATCCCCCGTGTCCCGAAAGCAGGAGGATGGACCAGGGGCCGCGGGGGGCAGCGCCGGCCCCTTTCTAGAACCCGGCCCCGCCCGCCTGGCCGCTGCCCTCCCGGATCGCCCCCGGCCTCCGCCGGCCTCCGCCGGTCCTCCCGTCCTCCCGCCACCCGCTCCGGGCCGAGTACCTTGAAAGCGATGGGCAGGGTCTTGTTGCAGCGCCAGTGCGTGGGCAGCACGGAGCAGAGGAAGTTGGGGCTGTCGGTGCGCACCAGCTCGCCGGGGTGGTCGGCCAGCACCTCCACCATGCTGCGGTCGCCGCTCCTCAGCTTGCCGGCCAGGGCGGCGCCGGCGTCCGGGGCGCCCAGCGGCAGCGCCTCGCTCATCTTGCCCGGGCTCAGCGCGGTGGAAGGCGGCGTGAAGCGGCGGCTCGTGCTGGCATCTACGGGGATACGCATCACAACAAGCCGATTGAGTTAGGACCCTGCAAACAGCTCCTACCAGACGGCGACAGGGGCGCGGATCTTCGGCGAGTAGCTCCAGGGAGACCAACATACAAGTTCAGGGGCCTTTATTGCTGCGCGGGGGGAGGGGGACTGGGGGGAGGTGGGAGACTAAGTTACTAACAGTCCAGGAGGGGGAAAGTTCTGTGATGCCGGTCAGCCTCAGACCGGGCAGGGCTCCTAGCAACCGACCGCTTAATGCTTTAAAAATTGGGCGACTAGAATCCAAAGTCAAATGCCGAGGGAGACTGTCTTCTGAGTCTTGCTTTGAGAGTTTAACTTCAGTTTTTGGCTGTTAAAAAAAAAAAAAATTCCCGAAGCCAAAATTCCCATACACTTCCTAAAATATTTATACAGAGAGCAAAAGGACCAGCAAATACATAATTTGGAAGTTCCAGTAGTAAATCGCCTGTCAGTTTTTTTTTTTTTTTTTTTAGGTGAGTTTTGTCTAAAGTCCCAGTACAACACAAAATATACGAGTGTCTTCCATACACAGAGCCACTTTCATCATGCAAAACTGGCTTCGGTCCTCAAAAGCAAGAACTGCGACTTCCAAAGGTCATGCTACTAATGTATGTGCACGTATATATAAATATATACATATGCTCTACTTCATAAAATATTTACAATTCAATCTGTAGAGAATTTAAACACAACAGAAATCCATTAATGTTCGCTGCTGATTTTTTTTTTAAGTAGCCTTGAAAATAAGCTTCAGTAGTTGAAGAAGGGCTGGGCTAGAAATACTTGTCATGTTCTCTTAATAAATTCTGGCGAAATGCTCAGTTCAGAAAATTCAGCTTTTCAAAGAAAAGCTAATCTTTAAAAAAAAAAAAAAAGTCCAAGTCGATGACACTCAAAGTACAGCTCTCCACATCTGAGAACTCGGTTTTGGGGATGTTGGTTAAGTTTGTGGCTGATCCTGTGGTTGGTGGGAGTTGAGCAGCAGTCGAGTCACACGCACGCAGACACGCACTCTTCCGAAGCCAGCCACTGTCTACATCGACTCGGTGAGTCAGCCCTACTTGGGCAGTAGCGAGATGATCTTCCTCCAACGTCGCCCCAGCGCCGGCCGGTTAAATGCCCGGGCGCACCTATACCTACGATCACCGCGTAACCGCAGCAGGTGGAGCGGGCCTTGAGAGGAGGCTCCGCAGCGCAGATCGAAACAGACGGGGTGGCTCGAATTACACACGCAGTCACACTCCCACGCACACTGCCACGCACACGCAACTTCACGGCTCGCCTCGAAGCACAGCACACTTTCTCTTGCAGTTGTCAAAGGAAACAACCGGGGAAAAGTTCACAGGCAGGAAAGAAGTTGAAACGTCCAGCCAAGAAACCAGTTCATTCAAAAGTAAAGAGCGAAAGAAAAAAAAATCGTAGCTCCAACGCAGGTCAAGAAGCAGCAGCAAGGGTTGACTTTCTTCTGGCGTCCCCAGGAGCCCCAGGAAGAGGTGCCTGCCGGCGCAAGGCCGGGCAGCGTGGTGCCCTGGCTGGGTCTGGCCGCGGGGCGCCCGTCCCGCCTGCGCCCGCTGGCTCTATGAATGAGAGTGCCTGGAAATGAACGTGCTTTTACTGTAAGCCCGGCCTGAGGAATTCCATTCCCTCAGCTCGTTTGCATAGGGGCGGCCGCCGGCCAATCACAGGCCTTTCCGGTATCAGCCAGGGCGCGGCTCGGGGCCGCGGGCTCCTGGAATTGGCCCGCGCGCCCCCGCCGCCGCCGCGCGCTACTGTACGCAGCCCCCGTGGAGAGTCGGAGGCTACCGCGGCCTCCCCGCTCTCCCCGCGCACCCGCATCCACGCACACACACGCACACACACGCACACACTCACACATTCTCCCGAGGCCCCGCCCTGGTGCGGCACGACCGCGGCCCTGCGTCTTTGCACACAGGCACAGTCGCGCGGCCGCCCGCCCGGGGCTGCAGTGCGCAGCGGCGCCATAGGCGGCCGCGGTCTGGAGACCGAGGAGGTGGAGAGAGAGGAGGCCGGCCGGCCCAGGGAGGGCTTGGGCTGCGCAATGTGCCCGGAGCGGCCCGGGCCCGGAGACCAAGCCGGAGGGAGGCGCCCCTCGCGCCCTGGAGATGCAGCGGCCGCCGCGAGGCTCCCGGGACCGGCGCCGGAGCCCCGGGGCGGCCCCCGGCCGTGCGCGGCCACCCACGGCCGAGCCTCTGCTTCCCCGGCGTGGGTGGGATTCGGCCGCGCGGGGGCCGGAGGGCCCGGCTGGAGAGCGGCTCCGCGCGGCACCATAGCCGGGTGGGCAGCAGTAGAGAAGCGGCGCTGATTCATTTAATGAGGCCAGACGGTTCTCGGTCTCCACAACATGGTTTTGTGTTTTTAGTTTTCTCTCTTGGTTTGTTTTCTTTAATTGGTGTTTTTCACCGCGTCTGGGCTGAGGCTTAATTATGCAGCGCGCCCCACTCAGTCTGAGTGTGCTTCGCGGCGAGCAAAGGAGTGTCCTTATCAGAAAAGACCCCAAAGAACAAGCTACGGGAAAGAAAGTTGAAAGCATCCGCTGGGCCGGTTCCCTGTTCTCGGAGCATCGGCTCCCCCGCAGGCGGCACGGAAAGCCCACCGCTGGGCCCAGGTCGCCCGAGCCCCGCACCCACCTCCGGCTCCCCGGAAACGGCGCTGGCTCCTCTCCCCGCCCGCCCGAGAAGCCGGGGGTGCCGAACCCACCCTAGCTTTGCGCGCGGGCGGGAACTTCCCCAGCGTCGGTCCCCACGGCGCCGCGGGAATTTTCGCGGAGCTTAGAGGGGCCCCGCCCCGGCGCGCAAGGCCAGTTCCTCCCCCCCTCCCCAGCCCCCAGCCGCGGGGCTCCCTAGCTCCCCGGGGAACCCACCCCGCCCCCACCCCCCGCCGTGGGGCCCCTCATACCCCGGGGGCAGGGCGCCCACCCCCAACATGGAGCCCTCCACTTCAACTCCCTGGAGCGGGTGTCCCTCCCGCTCCCCCCCGGGGGGCCCCTCCCGCCCGCAGCCTCCTTCCCCGCTGCGGACGCGCGGCTAGGGTGCTGGGGCCGCCGTCGCGCCGGATTCTCCTTGGGCTCTGCTGCTCGGGCCTAACGGAGGCGTCAGCCAGGGCGGGCCAGCCGGGGAGGCCCTTCCCGGGCGCCCAGGCTGCTTCCCTTGCCCCAGGAGCAAAGAGGCCGCACGGGCTGCGCGGAGCAGCCTGCAGGCTGGCGCATGCCCCGCGGGAGGCGCTGCGGGACACGGGCTCGAGGCGGACGCCAGGGGGCAGCAGCCGTCCTCGCTGCCGCCCCGGGAGCCCGGGAACGCCCCCGCTGGAGCGGGACTCTGCTGGCCCTCCCCCAGGCCTTTGGGTCGCTCTTGTAGCAACTCCAGTTTGGAGAGAAACGACTGGAATCGGCCGCGTCCCTCCCCTACTAACCCGGGCGGCGGAGCTGGTGGCGCGGGAGCCCTCCGGCGGGGGTCTCCGCTGTCCTGACCCGTCAGCATCAGGGTCTTTTCCCGAAACCCCTATGCACGCACACCGCGGTCGGCCAGCTCGCCACCATCGGTGCTCCTGGCGTCCGGGGCACCGTTGCCGGGCCCGCGGCCTCTGCTCCCTCCTGCCTTTCCGAGCTTCTCCCCAGGTGGGCCGTCCACTCGCTCCTCTCCCGGGCACCAGGGACACTCCCGAGAACAACCAGCAACTAGCTGCATTTTGTTTGTTTTAATGGGTCTGGGGTCTCCGAAAACTCCTTTTTATTTTTCCTTAAAAATGATCTTGAAGAAGCCGCATTTCAGGAGTAGAGACCCCCGAAAGTCCTCTCTCCACCTTGGCCCAGCGATTGCAAATGTTGCGCAATGGCCAAGCCTCCCTGTCTGCCGCCCCCCTGCCGGGCTCGGACGCTGCCGGCCCTAGCGACGAGTTGGGGCGACTGAAACCCCTTTGCTCAAATACCTCGCTGTAAGAGCCCACCAAGCGCTCCTGGGGACAGCCTCCAAGTGCATCCCCAGGGACCCCCGCGCACGTAGAGGGTGGGGCCCAAGAATGCGGCAGAGGCGAAAATGGGCTCTGATTCGGGGGAGGTAGTGGACTGGGGGTAATTCGCCCTGCGGAAAGGTCCGCGAAGAAAGCTCCTCTGGGGCTCAGGCGGTTTGAAACACTAAACCCAGCGAGGGGCTGCCGGGCGGACTCGCCGCGGCGGTCTCCCTGGCGGGGTCAGGTTCCCTTCCTTAGAAAAGAGGTGCAGGAGTAGATGCACCAAGTGTAGCCCTTCAACGGCAGCACCGTGGACGCTGCTCAGCTGAGTTTCAACCAGTAAATCTCGAGTGTGAACGTCGACAAGGACGGTAAGAGCAAGAACAGCTTTTGCTGATCTATTCTCAGTCCGGCCGCCGCGCATTTAAGGTTCCCGGGACCTGCGCTGGCTCTGCGGTGTGCGGTGCACACTTGAAAACCAGAAACAAAACGCAGCAACCTTCCTTGTCGAGGAACTAAAATGAACGGAAAGCAGGGAGCCTGAGGCTCAGCTAAGGTATACCTGGAGTCCTTTAGTCTGAAAGACTTTTTACACACGGTACAAAGTTCATTAACATCGCATACGAAACGAAGAGTTCCTTCCCACCAAAAGCGCCCATTTTAGCGGCAATACAGAATTTCCCTTCCTCTGCCTCTCCAAGAAAGGAAAGGAAACATTACCACATTCACTCCTGGAATAATACTAAAATTTACTCTTGTCATAATACAAAAAAAAAAAAAAAAAAAAAAATACAACGAAGCGATGTGTTGGGCGGATGCTATATGATGGATTTTTCCAAATTTGCTGCGTGGGGGAAATTCCAATAATGCTCATAACAGGAATGAAATGTAAGTTTACATACGGAATTTTAAAAGTACTATTTGGTTAGTTGGAAGAAAAATAACCATTTCACTGGGAAAAATAACAGCTCATTGACGTTTTTCTTCAACTTTAGGTAAATATATAACTAAGTGGTCTCAGAAAATATCTAAATATTTTACACTTTTGCTGTTTTAAAACCCTCTCAAAAATAAAATATGCCTAAAGATAGGATTAGAATCTGAACCATTCTCTTAAATCAAAATTCTCGTCTGTGAGTAACATATTTCTAAAATTACATTTCTAAAAATGTAGTATTTCTAGAAAAAATCATTTCTATTTCAGTGGACCATTTCAATGAAATAAAAACCAGAGAACGTATTTTGCTAGCGTTTTTGGACCAAATTGGTACAGCTGATACAATGTCACAAGGATGGAGAACATTCTTGTGAAGAGTAACATATTAATGTCTGTGCAAATAACATGCTATACACACCATCCAGTTTTCAACACTGGAATTTAAACATCCCCCCACCCCCAGCCCACCAGCGGCTTTGAGATTATTTTACTTTTGAAATCTAATTACTTTGGGGACAGGATTCTTTTGTTCTGCCACTATATCCTTCCTCCATATGCATGTTTTCATAGGTTGCGGTGCTTGATGGATGAACTGTTCACTCTCACATCACAATGGTGCAGCTCACAAGTAGCAAACTGAGAAATTATTTAAATTAAAATTTTTTTCAAATTTAGGGTGCTTAGTAAACATTTTACCCTCATAAAAATTTTGCATTGCCATGCTGTAACAAAGGTAATAAACTAGGTTATAACAGATAGAAGCCAAGCTCTATTTTTTTTTTCAGAGAGTCATGTAGTCATTTAATAGCAGCAGAATACACCTGTGGTAAACTACTCTGCAGGACCGAGGGTATCATTTAAAGTTTCATTGGAATGTTTTATATGGTTTGATATTTAAAATATGAAGAACAGCTTTTAAGTAGTTTTGAATCAGCAAAAAAAAAAAAAGAGCCTCAATTATTTGGCTAATTTATGTCATAAATTATTTATACATTTACATAGGTAAAAATCATGTATATGCACATATGAATGTGCATATTTTATAAAAAATATAATTTGGAATCCAACATACCGTGAACATCTCTAGATGGATTCATTCCGTGTACACATTCTGAAAGAACAGAAAGTAGGAAAATAAAAACGATTGTATAAATATACTGACAGCAAACACCAAATTTATTGATGGTTGGTGAATTTCATTCTAATCGTAATACATGCAAGTATAAAAACTAAATTTCCCCCACTTATTTTTTGTTGTTGTTGTTGGCTGATTGCCCCTCACACTTTTTAGCACTGGGGAGTTTTACAGCATATTGTCCAGCTTTGGCACAAAAATAACTTAAAACAGTAAACCAGCAAATAACAAATGAACTGTTACATTTGCACATGTTTTTAGGGGAGTCTAACCAATGTTTTCCATTGCTAGCTGGTACTGAATCTTTATCTTTCATAGAATCACCTTTTTAAAGCTCTGTATGTGATGCCAATGTGATTTATTTATGAACTTCAGAAATACATTTGGAAAATGTAAAAGTGAATCAGAATTCAAGGTGAAATTAAAACCAAACCCTAACTTAATGCCAAAACACTTGAAAATTGGTATTATAGCAGAGGTGAAATGCAAGAAGGAAAAACATAAGTTTTTTAAAGCCATGAAGATAAACAATTTTGAATACATCTTTTGAAAGAAACAAACTGATAGGTAAACATTATCATAATTTACTTCCAATAGGACAGTTTAGAAATATTTCCTCCTTGCTTGCTTTACTCTCCTTCCCTTCGCTAAGGGTGCAGATTATTTATACTGAAACCTCTCATTCTTGAAATAACAGATGATATCAATTATTATTGAAAATAACCATCATATAATATTCATATATGTATCACTTACTATATGCTGCTGCATGTACAGTTATAGGTAAAACCATTAAGCAAAATCATTGGAGGCTACTTCTCTTTCCTTTAAATATCTACATGCAATGTTCTGATCTTGAAATTACTAGATCAGCCTTGTATATTGATAATGCTCAGCCCTGAATGATTAACATGGAGGATACACCATTTTTCAAAGCCTTAGGATTTGAGCATTTCAAAAATTGCAGACCTAAAGCTTTCAACTTTACTCCACAATATTAATATATCTTAAAAAAATTTTCAAACAAAGAAAGGAGGTAATTATTTCAGATTTCCAGACGCTGTTTAAATAGGCAGGAGAACAAGATTTACAGCTCCTCAGTCTTATATTTTTTGCCAAAGCAAAAAGAGCAACTAAAATAATAAAGGGTTCTGAAAGACTGCCCTATGATGAAAGATTAAAGCAATTAAATAGGTACTGTCTCCAAGGAGCATCCTTAAAACAAAACAAAACAAAAGAAAACAAAAGACCAAGATTGTGGTTTGCATATACATAAAATGACTCCATAAAGATTTAAAAAAAAGTAGAGCAGGGAAAAATCATTTGCACTAATTATGAATGATAGGTAAGAAATATCAAATGTGCCCTGAAGTTAGTTAAGTTCACTTTTAATAAGCAGGGGGAGGAATCCACAACAGTAATACTAACCAGACAGCCAAATTCATACTAAAGAGACCCAGTAGAACCCCACACTGGAAAGTCTCTCTCATGAGACCCTGAGAAGCCTTTCCACGTCAGAGGCTGAGAAACAGGAGGAGTAAAGTGGAAAAGCAAATGTTTTGCTTACACACCTAATATTTCAGTGGTTCTGAGAGAAAACCCAAGATTTTTTTTTTTTTTAACCTAAAAGCAAGTGCAAAAGTGACGTTTGAAAGGGGTGCATGCTGTCTGTTGGAAGTGGCCTTAGTTTGTCCTGTGTCGTGGTCTTGAGGCCACAGCTCACATCATTAAACTTGGGGGGGGGTCTGCAGGTGAGGTGGC